CAACACTAAGAAAGATTAAAGATAGATTGCTAGAATGAATTTATCATTTGAAAACTGTTTATTGGTCGGAAACACTGTTAAGAGATGATTGAGTATAAATATTTCACAAATACTAACTAACAAACCCGGATATTAGAAAAAGACTAAGCAAATGATTGTTAATTCCTTATTCTTTAGAAAATAAAATACCTAACTTTAATTTTAAAATATCCAGCATAAAATAGACATGATTAAATTATTGTTTTGAACGGTATCAATACTGCGATCAAAAGATTAGTTAAGCTTAGAAGATTAGAGTCACATTTTGTCATAACTTGTCGTTTAAATGCTTATTGTCTTGGCTCTTTTAATGCTACTTTTTGTATCTGGTTGTCGCTGATTGTTATGTCGGAAACGCTTATCACTTATACTCGGAACGAGGGACCTCTGCAAACAAATACTACATTGAGTAATCATTATAATGATTCAAAACGGAAGTAATCTTGAACAAAACTTATAATGAGTAAATCAATCGGAAATTGACTTTTCTTTCCATCATATCACATTTTAACTGACACATATAGAGAAATCTGCTTATTTATTAATTTTTCATTTTCTCCCTATGTGATTATCCCAGACAGAAATGATTTGATCTGTCTTTCTAGTACAAAGTATACCTTTTAATATTGTTCTTTTCTTTTAAAACGAATTAAATTCATTCATGCGATTAAAAGAGTTGTCATTTGTATATTTTAGTTTGGTTAAAATTTGTACGATACATTTAAACAAGGAATGAACATTTGAATGTGAAAATATTAGCCAGTAGGCATTCACAATACAAAAATATCCTACATTTTGAGGGTATATACACAAGTGAGTAGTAAGAATTGTATTACAACTGATCAATATCCTTTTTGTGAATGACACATCGAAGCTGGCTAAATTTCGGTTGCATCAAGACCACCATTAAATTACTGTAGACCAACATCCAGAGACATCTATGAAGCAACCCATCATACTACTATATTCTTCTAATTAAACAATTCTATTAGTTGTATTTATCACTAAGAAGAAGAAAATACTTTTCTTACCATTTTTTTCATTGATCTCCAAGACGTAGATAACAATAACCGATTTAATTATGTTATCGAATAAATTCCTAAATAACTTCATGATCAATAGAGTATGAATTATTAAGACTAATAGATATTCATTACAAAATTTATACTCTGGTAACTAACCTAAAAATCACTAACATTTTAACTTATTACTATTTGTTTCCTAAAAAAACAACATTTAACTGAAGTTACTCGGTTAGTTTACTATCAACAGAATACATTCCTATTGATTACATAACAATATTTGACTAATGTATACTTAGGTATGTATATATCTACACAGATCATAACGCGTAAAAGTATTCAATTGTTAAATGATTATTGATTCCTTTGTTAATGTTTGTTTACATTTTGTTCACATGTTCTTGGATGTTAATTTGGCTTACAAATAAACAAAGGAAGAGGATGAGTGAATCAGAAAAGTAAAAAAAGAAGGTAAAATATTTACCTAATTTGAATACCAGATAACTGTCCATTATTTAAATAGATAGTCATGAATTATGTCGATGAAAAGAGAAAAAAACAAAACTTCTATTTTGTCATCATAATTGGTTCAATGGAATGTAATTGAAAGTAAAATGTTATTACATAATCATATATTACTTTAATCAGATATCAGTAGAATAATGACTGATTGATTGACTACCTATCAGTAGTTTATATTATATTGACATGAGTTTTGCCGTTTACTTTGCTTCCAAGTATTTTCAGAATCATTAATTTCTCTTATTTTTTTTGGAATAAATATTAACGTTAACTTTTGTTAAACATTTAATTAATTGAATAGGCTTTTGCATAATAATTTGGACATTAATCTTACAGCACATACATAAAGTTACAAATTATGTGTTTAGCGGGAATACTTACTTACTTACGCCTGTCACTCCTAATGGAGCATGGGCCGCCGAACAGCATTCTCCAACTCACTCTGTCCTGGGCCTTCTTTAGCGGGATTACCATTTGATAATGGTTAGAAAAAAGTCTACAATGCCAATTACTAAAACAAATAATTATATGTCTATTCAATAAAGGTATCATTATAATGAATTGACTGAATATCTAAGGCACATCTTGTTCTCGAAATCGACTGGAACCAAACAATATAATAATTTATAAATAATATACAAACTGAGGTGAGAGAACAGATATTTTATCCATCCAATTTACTTCTCATATAGCTTGTTTTAAGATATGCGTTTGTTTATGTAATTATCTGACTCCTTGTTAAGTAACGCTGTTGTTTTATGTGTGATGATGTCACAGTTTACCTTGATATGCCCAGAGATTCTAATCAACATCATGTACTATATTACCAGTTAGACCGGTGACCTATTTGTCAAAGTTACACAATGAATATCAATCAAGGCCTTAACACTTATTGGTCCTAGAGCCCCCTGCTAATCCATTTGCCAATAAGAAGATGAAGATAGGTGGCAGATTAATCCTCTCTTTTGCTTAGTTCAATTATGACTCTAAACTCATACAATTATTTATCGGAAATGCCTGACCACACAGAACACCAAATAAAAGATCACACTTTAAGGGCCATCATGCTATAAGTGTGGAGCGAACCGTACATAATTAGAGGATAGTAAAACGTATAGCAACAGGCAGTAGGTCCACTGAAAGCTTACAATAAGGGCAATATAGATATAACCATACGGTTATTGACTGGTTATACAGTAAAGACATTTATAATGGAAATAATTTTAAAAAATAGCCACAAAAGTTTCAACTTCCCTAATACTCCCTGCCTCATAACAGGATATACTTCTCACTAGAAGTAGTATCAACTCGAACATAGTTCATTTTAACAAATCGAATACGAGTTTCTATGTTGATCGTCGACTAAATGTTGTTGAGTTATCATCGAGATATTAAATAATAGAAGCTGCAGAAGCCCCGTCGTATTTACGGCCTTAGAAATATTGGTTTTGAAATAAATTCATAACTTCTATCAAAAAGCAAAAATATGCGGTGAAGAAAATATTGTTTTCGATCACTTCATTCTCAAAAACTGTACAATCCCACCTACGCAGGATAACAAAAGCCATCAATAAGTTTTGTATATATTCAACTAATGAATGAAAACCATAGTGTTATGGAGTTTGTAATTATTATTTTAGTTTAGAATCCGTTAAATTAACGTTTAAGTTACGTACACAGAATAGTCATAATCACCCAATCAATTATCAACATCGTAGGGGCTGATGAAAATATGTATCGTTTCAAATCACCTATGTTAGGAAATTAACAAGGTGAAATGGGGATAAATGGAAGTAATTGTTTTAGATAAATAAGTGGAATAAAATTGATCACGAAACGTTCCTTAAATTACAAGAACTCCTATTTACGTAAAATACAGATTTTTTAAACCATGGAATGTGATTTAATTTTCACAACTTAGAAAGCTAATCGTCATAATGAAAAAAAGCGTCGTCAAACTGAAGCTTGAGAGGAAAATAAATAGTTGTCACTTCCACGACTCTTGAAGAGTTTAAAGGTTAGAGTAGAACCAAAGAACTTATAACATTATGACTAACAAATTGTACTTCAATTATTGATAGCATTCACCAACATCAACATCCGTGGCGTATTTTAGTGTGAAGAAACAAAGTATTATCAAATAGACATTCACAAGTACTTTAGTAGATGCAGCTTTAACAGTTAATGCATGAGGATATAATCATTATCATCGTGAAATAAGTGTAACTAAAGGATATCACTAACGTGTGACAACGAAATACCTAAGCATGTATATAGAAAAATAGGGATATGATTAAAATTAATATTCTAATTGGATAGAATCAAGAGATTGTTAAACCAGTGATTTTCGAAGCTGTTTTCGTACATAAACTGATGGGTAGAATGAATTGGTCACCTCTATAAATATTTCTAATTTAAAAGAATAATTTTGGGGATCCTATGTAAACGTTGAATTCCTTTAGAAACATAAAGAAGACTCGACGAATAAACCATCGTTTGTTTTGGATTAGTTGAGGATAACAAAAAAAAGAAAACTTAGTATGGTGGGATAGTTAAGTTATTGATGTATTACATCTTCATCAACCTCAGAGTATGTAACATTCCCAAGCTAATTAATTCACGTAACGCAACACAAAGGAATCAAATAGACCACAGTGAGTGGCACGTAGAACTATATATATATACTGTTAGTTACGTGTATTATCTTGACCAGCCAACAAATAATATATATAAGTAATGGTAACCGGTGATTTTATAGTCCTGTTAAAAACAGCACGGATACTTGACGTACACTTTAAGTTATATTGGATTTTTTTCAAATGGTTAGAATAACTGGTTTCTAACGGCTACACAACATTTCTGTTATGTCCCGATAAGCATAGTGAATGGTAATTTTTGGGATCCATTTAAGGACCAATACTATGCGTATATTTTTATCGTATAATTGTTAATTAATTAAACTATTCATATCTCTCTTATCACAAGCTTTATTTTAACCTATAAACTGTTATTATACGATTTACCATCCTTGAATTATCCCCTGTCTATTAATCACTACCTCCCATATTCACAGCCACATTGGGCTAATTCTTGTACAAATGTTTTTTTCATATTTTATGGTACGGTATGGTCTGTCTGATTAGTATATAAACCCAGTATGCTTGAAATAAATTATTCATACTGCAGAGGCTGAGATTGGAGTTCTGGACTTAACAGGCTGCGCTAGGCGGGAAGCAAGATCACTCAGAACTCTAGACTGCTAGCACGTGTATTACGCGTCATTGGTCCAATCGGTAATTCTCTGCTCTCTGATTGGCGGTATCGTTACGTTATACATTAACAGGGCACTGAGGCCATAAGTTATAAAAACTTCTTTAATCACCTTTCGCCTTAATAAATAGATTTCAAGGAAAAACATTTTCGGTTTTTAAAGAAATTTTATTATTAATCATTAACCTATAGGGAAATATTACAAAATTGATTTTGCAAAGCAGATGGATTCAACAATATTTATATACATAAGAAAAGAAAATGAAGTTGAAAATGTATTCATTTTATACAAATATCCGTGAAACAAAAAGAACTAGATCCAATTTGGACTGAATAAAATTTTACATGATCAAAACATTCTTACTGAACTGAGAAAGTGTGAGAGAGAAAAAAAAGAAGATGAAAATTTCTAGCGAAAAATAAATCTATTCAACTGGGTTTTTGCACAAAGTATAATTAATATAAACTAGGCTGTTCATTTCGTAGTTCGTTCTTATTGTTTTGACAATGTTCTTGAAGAAGTTGTAATACATCAGTTTGAAAATATTTTGGTGCTTCTTTTGTCTCTTTTAAAAGATACATATAGAGAAAATAGAGCAGGTGATAATTTAGAAAAGAAATGTAACAGTTTTGAAATATTATATAACTTTAATCCAATTAATAATATACATTACAGATAAATTAAAAAGTTGTTTACATCCAATGTATGGATGAGAAAAATAGAGAGAGAGTTAAGAATATCTCGTAAATATCAAGATCAGCTGTAGAAAAGAGGATTTTAATTAAATAAGATGTATATCATTATTATATGCAATCTTGAATATCAACAACGCTGTAATTCGAAACCCTTGCTAATAATGATATGAACATCGTACGTTTTGAACAAATTAGTCGCTTTCTGGGCTGAGCAGCCCAGTGGATAAAGTGTTGGTGCTTAAAGTGAAAGGTTCTGGGTTCGAGTCCCAATGTGAACAAGAATATTCGGATACAAGCACGTCCAGCTGACGAGAACTAAATGGAATGAAACGCGGATCTTGTATTTCACTCCTGACCACGTTCCACCCATTCTAAATACATCAGGTATAACTTTGAATGACGATATAACCAGTGCTTGGAAATAAAGTTGAGGATATTTAACAATAATGCCGAAGTCTGACAAAGTATGAATAAATGCTTGTGATTCTAAATATTTCCTAGTAGAAAATATTTCTGAAAATTAATTTTCACAAGAGGTGTTAGTCAACTTACGTCAAAATCACTGACATGGTGAGTGAGAATTAAGGATAACAGTCTGTTGTTCTCGTCAGTGACTACAAACAATGTGCACAATCGACAATATACCGATAAAGTCTTTTTCAATGAAAGTACAATAGCGCAAAATCGTAACTTTTGTCCTCAACCAACACCTTTTTGATTAATTCCAAGCACCATTGAAGTTATGGTTGATGTCTAACAGATTATTTATAATACAACTGAATTGACCATTAAATATAACGATCAATGAAATAAACAAACACTGTCATTGTCTGCTGGAATTCACTAATCAGGTAATAAACGCTACAGCTCACCCTGTCAGTAACATTTCTGACTTACCTTCTAAAAGAGGTAGATTAGATTTTGAGAAGAGGGAGCATAAGTCTCATTAACGCTTTGGATACATTTTGTTGCTTAAATGCTATGGAAAATGCTAATAACTAAATCAAGTAAAATAAAGACTAATTTTGGTCTCGTTTTACATAAAATTCTGCTTGGAGCCCTTCTAGTGTTACTGCCAATTTTAAGCACGAGTAAAAAAAGAAGGCTGAGCATGAGATTAGGAATACCAACAAGTGAAAAAGAAACCTTGATTACGAGAAAAATGTTAACCACAAAAATTTGCTTCAAGAAAAACACAACTTACTTGTAATCCAATAGTAAATGTCCCATTCATTGTCTGGTAGATTGATTAAACTATCATATGCAATAAGTTGTTCATGAGTCATTGAATTCAGGTATTTAGCAGCAAATGTACTATATGAAAATTACCAAAAAAAATAACTATATATTAAAAATCATGAAAAAGCCAAACCATATTAAAACACAAATTATTAGAAATTAATAATTAATACATATATCTAGTGATAACATAATGGTTATCTCCTTATATAATATTTGTGATTTATTTTAGCTTATGATAATCTAGTGTGATCAATTCGAGCGTTGAACTGATTGATTATTACACTAATCATTCATAATCACCTTTTGTTGTATTTTGTAAAAGCGGGAAAGTTCAAACTGTGGAAATATAAGTATCAGTGGTATTAAAACGGATCAAACGCTGGCTAAACTGAAGTATACAGATTGAGCTTCAAATTCGGAGCTTATTGGATGAAAGTAGCTGCTTAACTGTTAAGTCACTGCTCAAAAATTAAGACAATGGCAAGGTGAAGTAAACACATTAAACATGCAGCTTTTAAGGAATCTAGATTACAACAATAGCATTATGTACTTTTCTGTCACCATCTAGAGATTTCAGAATGTATAAGTTACGAGAACACATTTAGAGAATCTTGTGAAATAGGTAACTTACTCATACATGAAATAAAATTTGAAATCGGCGAAAGTATGTGTGAACTAATCATACTGTATTGATTAAATTATTATTTTACTTATTTATTTATGTTAACACATAGATATTGGTACATTTATTTATTTATTTGAACACATGAATATTGGTACAAGAGAGCGCCAATATATATGCGCCACACAAAACAATAAAAATTCGAAGAGAAGTAGAAAAAAAACTAAGGAGCGCAAAAGAAAAAGAGAACAATGACGAAGAGATTGGAGTAAGGTAGTGTGGTAGTAACGACGGAACGAAAAGGTACAATCAGAAGAAATCTTTCAGGTAAAGGAGACACAACCACTTTTTATGAAGAAAGTAAAAGAAGGTTACAGCAGGATCGCCATTGGCTTCTATTCTGAGCCATATCTGATAACGTCTCTAGCCACTGTGTAGCACCATCTCTCAGACCCCAACCAGGGAGTCGTGAAGGACCAACAGAAGCCAGTCCTTTGCAGCTTTCTTTCATACCACGACACCATGTCATGCACTGACCACCTCTCCGCTTTTTCCAACCAGTCCCAGAGTCGGCAAATAATGCACGACGTGAAATTCTCTGGGACGACATTCGGAGAACATGTCCAAGCCACCGAAGTCGGTGTTTGAAGATGGTAACACCGATTAAATCATCATCTCTGTGCCCAAACACACGATGCCGAACCTCTGCATTACTGACATGGTGTTACCACTGAATGTTAGCTATCCTTCGGAGACAGCGATGATCGAACACAGAGAGTCGTCTAACGTCCTCAACTCGAAGAGGCCAGGTTTCACAAGCATAGAGCAAAACTGCTCTCACCAATGCGTTGTAGATCCAGCCTTTTACAGCCAGACTAACATCACGAAGGCGCCAAGAGTGGCCCAGATTGGCATAAGCCGCTCTGGCTTTCACTATTCGTGCATTGATCTCATCACTCACACCCCTACCAGCACTTATGCAGCTACCCAGATACACAAACTTCTCGACTACGTCTATCTGCTCACCATCCAGGGTGAGTACAGGATTAGAATCCTGCCAGTCTTGTAGAAGTACTTTGCACTTCGAAGGTGCAAAGCTCATACCATACCTACGGACACTGATTGCCAACTGATTAAGTGCGGATTGCATGCCATGGGCATTATCGCACAGTAAGACAATATCGTCCGCATACTCAAGGTCGAGAAGTCTTTCTCCAGGCAACAGATACACACCACCATTACTTACATTCATCAGAGCTGTTTCCAGAATGTCATCGATGGCAAAGTTGAAGAGGAATGGTGAGATTGGGCAACCCTGCCTAACCCCACTGCTCGAATGGAACAATGGAGAGAGGTGGTTGTATGCCCTCACTCTGCCTGAGGTTTTTGTTTATAGGGCTTTTAGGATGTTAATAAACTTCTCAGGCACACCCTTCTTCAATAGACAATCCCAGAGAACAGTCCTATCCAACGAATCGAAAGCAGCCCTGATGTCAAGAAACACTACGATTGTTGGCCTTTGAAAAGTATGGCGGTGTTCTAACATTTGGCGGAGGGTGAAGATATGATCAATACATCCTCGACCAGAACGAAACCCAGCCTGCTCCTCGCGAGTCAATCTTTATCGGGTTTTGAACAACCTACGAAGAATGACGGAAGCCAATAGCTTGGACGCAATCGGAAGTAAACTTATCCCCCGATAGTTGTTACAGGAACGACGTGAACCCTTTTTAAAGATAGGGACAACTATCGACTCATTCCATGACGTTGGTACACTCTCTAGCTCCCAAACCTTTGTAAACAACGTCGTCAATTCCTTAGTCAAAAAGTCACCACCATCTTTAAAAAGAGCCGGAGGTAAGTCATCTGTGCCAGGTGATTTGTAACGCTTCAAGAGTTGGAGTTCCTTGCGGACTTCCTCCTCATTTGGTGGATCAGTCGTCACCGGCCATGGAGGGCAGGACAGTCTGACCGATGTTGCCGGAGCAGCAGGCCAGTTGAACTGCCCTTCGTTCAAGACGTTGGATGTTAGTGATTGGCATCCCATCATCCTCGCAGATTGTTTCACTCACACCAGACTTCTTGCTGCCAGTGGCTCGGATGAGTTGGAAGAGCTTCCGGTAGTTACCAGATGCAGCTGCTGCTTCCAGCTCATTAGCACGCATCAACCACCAGGCTTCTCGGTCCTTACGCAAGCTTTGCCCAATTTCCTTACGTAACATCCTTCGTTTATGGTCAAACTCACGGTCACCTGGAGTAGACCGACGGGCTTCAATGAGTTGTAAGGAACCTGCAGAAACCCAGTGCTTAAAAGCGGGACGTTTCGCAAACCCACAACTGACTGTTCCCGCCATTTTCATGGCGTCATGCAATTGCAACCAATGCTCATCTATACTTTTCGGTGGAGTAGTAGCTAGCCTAGAGGCTAGCTCGGTTCGATACTTACTTGCAACAGAAGTTGCAACCAGCTTGCTAACATCAATCTTTTGGTGGTGGTCACTTCGTTGGCCACTGAAAAGTAAGGCAAGATTGGCGCAGACCAAGGCATGGTCAGAGTCCAGATAGGTACTCCAAAAGGAGCGGTAGTCTTGTACACAACCACGCCAGCGGTAGCTGATCGCGATGTGATCAATCTGAGTCCAGGCTTGAGATGCAGAGGGAGGACGCCAGGTGGCACATCGGCGATGACTGTGCCGAAAGTTAGTGCTAGCCAGAAACAGGTTGTTGTCTGTGCAAAGTTGCAGTAGACGGTCCCCGTTATCTGACCTTAGACCAACGAGTCCCCATCGGCCACCTAAACGACTCTCTTCTGTGCCTAGACGCCCGACCTGAGCATTCAAGTCTCCGGCTAGTACTACAATATCTGTCGAACGCACTTTCTGGAGAAGAACTGATAACTGGTGGTAAAACTCATCCTTGATTGCATCCGGGCTGCAATCTGTCGGGGCATAGGCGGATATGACGAAAATACATCGTTTCTCACGCCGATTTCTTCTCACTTTGATGGAACTCTCTAATCTAACAGCACATAACCGACTGTTAATGGGGATCCAATCGATTAGTGCTGCCTCAGCTCTAGCGCTTAGTGCGACACCAACGCCAGCAACACCAGACGAAGATGCCACAGGGTCCCCGGATAAGCGCACGTAAAACAAGCTTTTCGAAGCGACAGATGGAGATCGAATTTGTAGTACTTCGTCAGAGTCTTGAATACGGGTCTCGGATAGACAACAAACATCAATATTAAGACTTTCCAAAGACATAGCCAGCCCTATCTGTTGTCCGACCTGCATAAATGTGCGAACGTTGAAGGCAGCCAGTTTGAATGGTGCACATGGTTTCAGAAAAACTGCTTCAGTCCTCGTATTCGGTGGTAACATACAATTTTCAACCGGACAGTGACTCGAGAACGTTTAGATACAGTCGAATTTCCACCAAAGACGAGCCGCTGTATAAGTATAAAAGAGGGTGAATAATGTGGAAAATAATAACAACAATAATAATAATAATAATAACAATAATGACAATAATAGTAGTAATAATAATAATAGTATTAATAATGACAATAATTGTAATGATAATAATCTGAATCAATTGTTTGTTTTTCAAAGCGAGAAAGGTAATTTCCATAGGCATAAAAAGTTCATCAATTTGTGTGTGGGCTGTGATACTGCCCGGGTGCCCAAACCGAAGCAGGTGGTTATCTTAGGGGGCCACCCCCCGAGCCTTTGACCTAAAGGTCTAACCCACAAGGCAGTGGAGCATCGTAAGGAGATGCAGTCCCATGGTAGCCGGTGACCAACGATTGATTCATGCGCCATTTGTTCCCGCGGGATACTGGAGCCCATGTGCACCATTGATTTGGAATCTGGTTAAAGCGCCGGACATTCGCTTTTCGTCCTCTCATTTTCGTAAACAACACCCCCGCCACGAGAAGGCAATGAGTAGGACTTCCCTGGCAGAGGCTGTATACGCGTGGCCGTGTGAGAGTATTTCGAGAGGGAGAGCGGACTCTCCCCACTCTCGGCCGTACCAGGGCATTCAGGGGGCAGATATTGGTACAACGGAGCACCAAATACATATGCGCCACGCAGATCTCATTTGATATGTGTGAGGGCTGTAATACTGCCCGGGTGCCCAAACCTAAAAAATTCTATATATTTATGAGTTAAAATATTCTTCTTAAACTTCATTTGCCATGGACAGGTTTATATGGTCAGGTTGAATCATATTTTTTCTAATGGATAATGATACTGTCTGGTTTTCCAAATAACCAAGTTCGTGGAAGAGGTGGAATTTACAATTTGCTTGTTAAAATTTGAGTGTTTTTAATATTAAATCACCGCTTTACGTTACTACATGTAAGACTTAAGTGAAACAATAGTCTGTGTCGAACCATGTTTAGTCGCATATAAAGTAGGGTTCTTTTGGGATTTTCTGAAAATTGAACTATAGTGATCGAGATAATCAATGTATTTTAATATTAAAATATTAGGATTCAACCGCATTTTCATCAATCATCTATGTCTACCACTAAACATTTAAAATTTTTGAGATCAATGGAAAAAAAATCCGTTTTGTTTTAGCCAAATGTTTGACTGTAATTACCACCTACCACATTTGAAACAACTAAGATTATGTTGTGAATGGAACAGTCATAAACAGTTGAGAGACGCTTCTAATAAGTAATGAGCAAACTGGACAAATTAGATTACTGATACACAGCACTTAAACGACAATACGCCGAGCGGTAAAACATAAAAGCTTTGTAAGGAAGATGTATTGATCAAGACCATAGAAGAATTAATTTACATCCAAGTTAAACCCATTATATATCGATTAAACTCAATGATTATTAATTGCAAAATTTATAAACTAAATAATAACTTTGAAGAGAGCAAGAACAAAGATTGGTGCAGAATAATATGAATTCATTTTATTTCGTTAGGTTCTCATCAGCTGCTTACAACCTAAATTATTTGAAATTTAATTTATTACAGATATTGACATATACATAAGAGGGTGAATAAAGATGAATAAATGTATCATGGTGTAGCGAAGATTTCGATAGGGTTAATGAGGTCATAAAATTTTGTCTCGAATAAATAGAATTTGAGAGGGAAAGTTCCGGAACATTGAAATAGTGATTAGAACTCATGAAAATAGATTAGTGGTAATAAAGAAAATACGCCCGATTCAAAGAACATATTCCGAAAAGTTTATAATTAAATGGATTAAAAGCATCCACCAGTGCCATCGTAAGACATCTCCTTGACACAGGACATGAAGTTGATATACTGAAGTCCTTCAAGGTGATTAACAAACAATCAAACCCCAACCTCTTGGAATTTGCCGAAGCAATAGCAATCAAACGTTTAAAACCAAATCTATGTATACAAAAAGAGACAGTAATAAATCTTTTTTTACCCTGGTAACAATAACCCTCACTCTTTCTATTAATTTGCTCCTATTTATTTATTTATTACGTCATTATTGCAACTCTTTCTGAAATATAAATTACATCATACATAACTGACTGAAATCAATTCATATTTTCTTTATTACCATTAATCTATTTTCATGAGTTCTAATCACTATTTCAATGTTCCGGACCCCATTAACTCTATCGGAATCTTCGCTACACCATTATACATTTATTCATCTTTAATCACCCTCTTATGTATAAATATGTCAATATCTGTAATAATTCTGAATTTTAAATATTTTAGGTTGTAAGCAGCTGATGAGAACCTAACGAAATAAAATGAAATCATATTATTCCGCACCAATCTTTGTTCTTGCTCTCTTTAAAATAATAAAGGGAACTATGTGTATAAATAATAATTGATTAAGCACAAAAATATGGTGAAATTATAAACAAAATTAAAATAGCTACTTTCATATTGGCTGAATAAATACAAATGAAAATTCACTACAAGTGAATAAACAGAGTTTACAAAAAAAATTATGCAACGAAATTATATTTAAAGTTAACTTTAGCCAATTTGCCAAGTTGAAGATCAACTTTCTTATTTATACTCTGAATTAAGAAATTTAACATCCCTGACAGATTTTCAAAAAGGACAGTTCTTTTTTCGGTGTAAATTTGACTGAGTACGATTTATTGAATAGAGTTGTTCTAACAAGATGAATATCGGTAAAGCTGTAACTTGTGGAACTATCTTGTGAAGAATTATTATCTATATTTTTACTGTAAAATTAGTAAATATTTGGATTATTGTATCTTAATATTTTCTTAATTATAACCCTTTGTTTGGTGCTTAAATTATTGGCATATAATTCCCATCTAAACATTAAAAGCACGAAGTTCAGAGAGGGGATCTCGTTCTAAAGAGTTTATTATCAGTATATATATGATTAAAGTATCAGTTTCATGAGGATATATGAACAAGGAGTAAACAATATAGATTATAATGCTAGATTACGCAATGTGAGTGATAACAATAAGAGATTGTGTGTGTGCAAACAGAAAGCCTTGCATAAATTATCGTTCTATTTTGTAAATCTCTCTCAATTTTTTGTTGACTAATTACAGATCAGTCACTTAATTTCCCTACGGCTTATGGCGTGATTATGGGCAGATCGTAATGACCTATTTATGTTAAAGTAGGCAGGAATTTACTCTACATCAGTGTATGAGTTGAGTCATATAATTGGACGGCTAGACAACAGGGATTTTATCAGCATGTAAATTTAGTCTTCTAATTAGACACTATGTTGGAAATATCTCGACAATTAATGAGATTATGGCCCCAGTTGTTGTTCAGTGGTCACTCGTAAAATAGGTCATCAGTCCTACAGACACTGAGAGAACTAGTTAGCAGTCGAACTAGACAATACTACTACTTCCAAAATAACCACTTGATTACAGAGGTCTCAGAACAATGTAAGAACCTGTCGGTTTTATAGTTATAACAAAACTAAGAACACAGAGGCTTTCAGGCCGAATCACAAAAGTGTAAAAGCTAAGTACTGGTTAGTATTTTAATTGTATGTAATAATTATACTTATGCTGACAGATATAAGTAGTATGTAGCAACAGTCGGAAGTTAAATGCCTGACAGCAGAAGATTGACATGAAGAGAAAAGAAAGGAAGTCGTGGAGCGATCGAAATAACAACAGAATTGGAGGAATAATGGTGTATGCAAACGACAATGCAAAGAAGATATGCTAATGATTTCTTTAATGTATGGTTTTCAGATTTTACTAAGCCAATGTGATTCTGCATTAAGTAATAAATTGGCTTTCTGTCACCTGAGTTCGGGTTCAGTACTATTCCATTCACTAATATGATTGACTAGTCTGCTAACAAAAAATACAGTGATCTTGGCTGATTGTTTATGTCCACTTGTTTACCTTCATTGTATAGTCAGACTACACACTAAAAGACTGATATGCGTTTATTTTTTTACTTAAAGCACATTTGATACTACATGACTTTGATAAAATGAATACGCGTGCATAAGTTTACTGGTCCGGTGAAGACGCTATAAGGAAGAATAGTGCGCAAACATAATAAGGTACCTGTTTACTTGAACCATGATGATTGGGTTGGGTTCAAAATTAACAACTCAGTCGTTAAAAATTGAGTTAGGACAAGAAACCACAGCTTTATGAAACGACGGTGTTCAACAGATTCACAGCAAGACCAGAAGTGATCTTTTTTGTAAAATGTTTTCCATTTAACAGAAATATAATACAAGCACTAAACTAATAATAAACACTCTTCACTTGTATGTTTATTCAACCTAAAGATTTGTCATATAGAAACGAAACCAAAGTTACCCCCCCTCCCACAAACACCATTATTGCAACCAGGAGTTTTTCAAACTACCTTATTAACGGTAAATTTTCTCCGGCTCAGTAAATTCAGCATGACAGAGTGGGCATATATTTGATTAGGTGATCGAATACTTTGATTCAACTATTTGCTGACCTTTAGGTACTATTTGTAAATAATAACTGCTTTACAATGCAGCGTTTGATTATTGAAGTTATGCTTTCAACAGATATACTACAAGTAAATGTTTTTTAGACTCTGAGCGACGGTCAATATCCGTAATGTTTTGTAGATTGACTGAATATCTTTCTTCAATAGACATTTTATATGATTCTGTAGGTAAAGCAAGCCATCTGACTTAGGTGGACAGTTTTATCACTCGGAAGATATTATATTATTGCCCAACACTTGTTGACGAACAACTGATGGCTTTGTTTAACAAAGAGAATCGTCAATCATTAACGTATTAAAAAAATAGGTCTGGAAAAATAAGAAACAACATTGTTAGACTAATATTTTGGCATCTAACCTTCAATAGCCAAATTCCTTATATAATAACAACAAAAGACTATGAGCAAACTGAAAACTTATAGAAATATATATATGAATAGAATCAGAATACCTTAACAGAATTCCATTTTCCAAATTTCCACGCTTTCTACTTTGATATAATAAACGAGCTCTGCGAACATCATCTGTTTCTGTGGTAGATACTTGATTTGTAGATCGAAGTTGTACGTCGTCTATAACATTATTCTGGCCAAACGATGATTGAGTGGAAAAGAATGAATATCCAGAATACATTTTTATTTCATATTTAGGTAGAGTGATTAATCGACTACTTAACATAATAGGCAATCTTGTAACAATGTGGCATTTAAAATTCATTTTCTTTATACTAATTAACTCAAACTCAAAATCTGTTTAGCGCTGGTTATCTACAAAGAAGTACACAAAACGTCGTTATTATGTACATATATGTGATAGGAAATCCGAGCTTACTGAGTTTTGAACAAAACGAACGACACTTAACATAGACCTAATAACACTAAATCTGATATTTTACTAGTAATTTTCACGTCATGTTATTTTTTTTTCACAATGCCAGAATGTTCACTGAGAAATGATCAAATACCAAGTGGACTAAATATCATTTCTAATGGATGTAGGCAGTGAGACGGCAACTAGACGTCAACTTCATCTTGACGTCAAGAAAGGAGTTAATGAGTGATATAATGATAGATTACGAACCACCAATATTATCACACATAGTGACTACCATACAGAAGACGAGCCGAGTTATCGCTACTTGAAGTTATGTACAATCAGCAGACATGAAAAATCTGGACAGCCTGAAAGTGTAGTCAGAAAAACAACTTGCCTCACGACAGCCGTCAGAATCTGTGCAGTACATTTGAAATTCCGCTATTTAAATTTTAAATTTTAATTCATACGTGCTTATTTTCTATTTTTCAGTTGGTAACTGTCGTAAAAATACTTCATTATTCACAGCAATCATCCTGTGCTTTCTAAGTCAAAGATTCACATCCCTTCTCGCAATGGTTTATCTTGCAATTTTGTACCAAATGACACACTCCGGATTTTATAAGAAATAACATACCTTAAGGCTAAAACCAAAATTACCAGGGACCGAGTGTTGCCATTCAGGTCCTTTAAGGGTGAACGGTATTCTATTTTCATTAAAACCAGTAAAAGTCCGAATACTTCGAGGGATAAATCTAGGTCTTCTATTTTTTTCCCACATGAGTGATCTTTAAATATCGGGGAATCAAAAGATTTTATGCCTACGAATAACTTATAAGACAGTATTCTATATTGACTACAGGAATTATATGCAAACTTTAGAGAATAAGTGATGATCAGGAACGAATAGCAGCAAGCGTTTTCTAGTGCGAATAGACGTCAGAAATGATCTTTATGGTCATAAATGAAATAGCTATACTTCAGGTAAGTGATCTTTGCAAATCGTGAATTTAAAACCTTACAGGCTACTATTACAAAAACTTCACATGTATCTTCGTGGGTAATTTTATCTCCAGTCATAAAGTAGCACTTTTCGAGTGATCAAAGCCAAAGCGTAAAAATGACTAACCGAGAGGTTAAAATTAGTAACAATCTATAACATCTTAATCAGATTCACTCTAATTTAAAATGAACATGGAATTTTATAACTTCCAGTATGGGTAGATTCACTCCTACACTGCGCTGATCGTCGAAATATCTAAACTTTTGTATGATAACAATTTAACTAACATTATTATGTTTCTCAGAAAATAGGAATGGACTCAATGTGAGTTGGGGAATAGCGCATCCCGAGCTCCTAATTCTGGGGAAATCTTGACCCCCTTTGAAAAAACCGCTATAGTTAACTTTTAGGAGATGACACTAAAATTTCGAAATCTCCCCGAACATTGATGAATGTTATTTGACATTGGGAGTTTCTACAAAATACCCCAAAATTTTCCCAAATGTGGGAGATTGGGATCAACTGCAGCTGTCATTAGTGACCGACATTTCAGAAAATAAAATTCGCGAACAAGTTGAAACAATTGTTCGAGATCGCAAACATTGTCAGGGTTGTCAAATGCCGTCTATGGAAAGAATCACATAACAGCATGATATTTTATTCATTGATTTGAAAGTGTTAAACATGTAACATGGAAGTTTGGGGACGAGTTACATGGATTAGTATTGGAGCTACTTTTCACTTCCTAGTCCTTTTTAGTATAAAAGACAAGGTCTCTACAGATCTGCAAATTACCAAGATCACCAAAACCTCCTGACCTTCAAAACACAATTAGCGCTAATAAAATTGAATAGTCCAACCAACTAGTCAACCAGAATAATGCCACATGTGCCTGTTTCTACAACCCTTTGCTCTTAAATAGATATTTTACTCTAGGGCCCTTAATCTGTCTATAACAACTTCATATGTTTGCTCCAACTATTTTCGGAGATTTCTATGCCACACCAGCCTACTTAGTCTGAACTAAAAACATCATAATAAACTCAAAGTCAAAATAACCCATCGTGTTAATCTTCGAAAGTAATAAGAACCCAGCGATTGGAATTTTCATTTTTGACTGAATCATTTATTCAGTCTGTCTATTCATATATATATATATATACCTGTGCTTTAAATTTATTGCGATAGAAGTGTAGAAATGAACACATAATCATCGATACGAAACCCACACCCGGACAACATCCGGAAAAGGCATGATCTGTTCAGAAAAAACCTTCATATGAATATCGAATTCAATGTTGATGTTTATTTAATTGCTTATCTACGACTGTCACCCCTTGTAAGGGAGCATAAGACACTCATCAGCATTCTCCATTCACCTCCGTCCTGGGCAATCCTTTGCAGTTTTTTCCAGTTGTTATTCATCCTTCTGATACATGTTTTCTACTCTCGAGGCAACATGCTCTTTGTCTTTCCTGTTTTCCGCTTCCCATCGGAATTCTATGTGAGAGCTTGCCTCTAGGTAGAGTTTGATTTCTTTAGTATTTCTTTAGTCTTTTCCTAATCTCATCCTCATCTGGAACCTGTTTTATCTTCCATAGTAGGCTGTTGCTCATGGTATCCGGCGAATGGATGTTCAGTACTTTGCGTAGACATTTATTTATAAATATTTGTAGTCTCATGGTGATGGATGCAGTAGTTCTCCTTGTTTCATCTCCGTACACTGGAACTTATTGAAGATTCTGACTTCGAAAATGGCTTCCAGACAGTTGTTTTGAGTACGAGATGCTCTTCAACTGTAGGAATTCTGTCCTTGTTTTGCCAATCCTCGACTTAACGTCTACATACGATCGTCCTTTTTCATCGATAATTCTTATCAGGTACGTGAATATTTCCGCCTCTGCCAGAGTTTCTCCATCAAGTGTGATCGGCTTGGTTCTTTCTGTGTGCGATTTGAGGATGCTGCTCTTTTCATTGTGAATTTTGAAGTTTATCGATGCAGAGTCTGCTGCTACACTAGTTGTCTTCATCTGTATTTGTTCGTGTGTACGGGATAGGAGGGCTAGGTTATCTGCGAGGTCCAAATCGTGTAATTGGTTCTGAGCTGTCCATTTTATTCCATGTTTTCCCTCAGACGTCGATGTCGTCATTATCTCGTCAACCACCAGAAGAACGAGGAAGGGCGAGAGTAGACAGTCTTATCTGACCCCCTTCATCACCGAAAATGCATCGGTCAGCTGTCCTCCATGCACGATCTTGCACTGTAGTCCGTCGTACGGGTTCCGGATGATGTTGGCAACTTTGTCAGGAACTCCATAGTGTCGAAAACGCTTTTATATAACCCTCCTTAGCTCACTGTCAAATGCTTTATCATTGTTCATGGAGTTGATTTAATGACGAATTGTATTCATTTGACTGTTCAACGATTATCTATAGTGTCGCGCGTTGTCGATAGAGTCATCATGAATTGGTTGAGTATAATAGTATGTTGAAGAAGGCAGTATTATCCCTCTATAATTCTGTTTGTCAAATTGTTCACTACCTCTTTAGCTTTAGTTTAATCTTGGCCACAACCAGGTGGTGATTTGAAAACATATTAGCTCCTCTTTGAATTCTCAAGTCTTCCATGAATGTTGTATCGGTCTGGCTCTCCGTGGCTTGGTCCGGTGGGGTCTATGTAGCTTTATGTGGGAATATTATGCAGCCTATAACCAATTTGTTAAATGCCACGGATCTGTAAATCTCTCATCAAATTCGTTTCTCTCTTCCAGTCCATATCGTTTCATGATATCTTCATACCTGGCGTCGTCCATTCCGACTTTGGCATTTGAGCCCCTCTCAGGATAGTAAGGTCGTTTCATGAGCACTTCGTTAAGATTCATTGCAGCTTCTTGTATAATTGATCATCATCATCATCATCATCATCATCATCATCATCATCATCATCATCATCATCATCATCATCATCATCATCATCATCATCATCATCATCATCATCATCATCATCATCATCATCATCATCGTTATTCCTATAATTAAGGAGCAGTGCATAACACTGGATTATATTCACAGTTATTCTATTCTTCTTTGTTTTGAAGGATGCCTTGAAGGTTCTATATCCATGAGATTCTAGCGATAAATAAATCCCCAAAATAAATAGCTCTGTAAGTTTTTGATATTGGTTTTGATGGACTCACCTAGCTGAAGACGCACGGTCATGTATCCGCACCAGATCACGAGTGGGAACGTCATGCTCAACAACCCCTGCAATCGCTAGCCAGATTAGATCAGACGATCCTCGATATATTGATAGCCTATCAAATATATCTTTGAATCTCCTTGCTTCTGCCTTTTTATGTAACTTGGTGGGTTTGCTCCATATTAGGTGTTACTGGTAGAAGCGTCGTCAAACTCCGAACACCTGTGGCTTTTTCAAGATTCCTACCCAATAAGAGCATTTAGTGCTTGTTTGTAGAACAACAGAGCAACTCCTCGGGTATGCGGAGCATTTTCTTGTTTATGACGAGAGCATAACAGTCTCAGTTCAATCCAATGATCTCGAGAAAGGCCGGATTGTACCTCCGCGATTCTGTTGTCTGGTACTCCTGGTCTCCTACATTTTCCGGACGTTCCATATACCCATAAAAATTGTTGCCTTGGTTATTAGAAGAGGCTTCGGTCTCGTGACTTCAGAAGAACTTCATCTTTCATCATGAGGCGTCATTAATCAACTCCAAAGACAGCGTTTAAATTGTTTAATTTTCTATTCCTGTTAGCGCTTGTTTCAGGAAAAAAAATTTTCTACGAGATGAGATTACCCAGTGAGTGCTCAACCTCCGTCTTTTTTATCGTGCTTGGGCCCGAAAGTAGCCCTAGAAGAAATACAGGTGAAATTTGAAGGAGATACGGTTGCTGAAATTTTGAATAAACGGACTTTGAAGTATTTAAATAGAAAGTTCCGTTCAGCATTATTTCACATTTTTATCTTAAACTGATCTTCTGTTCACGGAGGTCTTAAGGGTAATCTTCCACCTTGAGCCACATCAATATGAACCAAGAAATTTACTGTATATCGTGGGTTAGTTTACATTGGCAGCAGAAAGCGATCAGTTTGTAAACGCAGCTGAGCACGCAACATGGTGAGGACTTTAAAGTAAGAGTGCATAACACTTATCAGTTCAATATGTGGGCATCTAATAAACTGTGATCACGTCGCTTTGAAAGATTCTACTCTAAAATAATCCACACAACCAAAGGAACCAGATCAGGAATGTTCAAATCAAAACCTATGCACTGTTGAGACATTGGAGATCCACGAATTCAAGTCTGGGCTCTGCGTGCAAAAACGATGCGTCCAAACTCTCATCCTTCCTTGGCACTATGTCCCTTCAATAGTACGTTTTTTTTATATTTTTCTTTTAAAATTAATGACTAGTAAATTTTAAATCGTAATTATTTATTTTCATCCCTTAACAGTTTTCTATGAATATTACTGTGATCATTTTGACCCTTAGATTTTTCGTTTCTCTCCCTATCTGTGAAATGGACAGTTATCTGTCATAATTCCGACCCACAAATTCTGTTCATCCACATGTCCTCAAACCCCCTGATTATAACATAACCTAATTTAATTTTTAGTTTCGAATCAGTTCATGATGCAACTATATATGATACGACTATAAATACGAATTCTCTTGATTTGATTTCGACATAGTTTGAAAAGTTCCGCACAACCGGCTGTTATATAAGTTAAGAAATGTCGGGATTGGAGGTAATTTATTGATGTGGATAAAAGACTTCTTAGTTGGGCGTCAACAAAGAGTAAGGGTGAACTCAAAGTTATCTAGCTGGGAAACTGTGCTTAGTGGAGTGCCTCAGGGTACAGTTTTGGGGCCAGTGCTATTCCTTTTGTATGTAAGTGACCTTCCTCGTCTACTATCATCATCGGTCTTGCTATATGCTGACGATGTCAAGATATGGAAAACGATACGATGTAAGAGTGATAGCTTAGAACTGTAGAATTATGGTCTACTATGATATTAGTACTGCTCTAATAATAGACCTAATCCTAAATTTGTAGAGTTGTCATCATATAACTGCCTTATCTATAAGATCTTACGTGGAAGTCACACCATCGACTACACCAACTCACTGTATCGTATCAACTACCAACACATGATGTAGAACAAGGTTAGGTTAGAGAAAGAACAATATATTTAATATTAATAGAAGATATAAAGTAACATCGAGATGGACCACGCCTGCATGGACGAGCCATGCCAACCGATCAAACCCAGTCCATTCAATTCCTTGTTCGCGCCTTCTCCATTGTTAGGTATTTCTCCGCGTTAAATATTGAATATCTATTTTCTGAGTAGTCTCGTGTTCACAGATTTGTGGGTTGTGTGGCTATTGTCCAATGCCACTACAGAACTTCAAAATGACCTGAAGAATTTATCTGAATGATCTCAAACATGGCAGTTGCCGATAAATACTTCCAAGTGTGTTGTCATGCACACCGGTCATCAACGCACAGATACATACACGATGAATAACACTGAGCTACCTGTCGTCCAGACATATAATGACTTAGGAGTTATCATTAGCCAAGACTTAAAGACTACTGCACACTGCCGTGCAATAGCCGCCAAAGGTTTTAGAACGTTATGGTCAATACGTAGAGCTTTTAGTCATGTCGACGCTAAGACGGTTTTGACTTTGTATACAGTGTTCGTACGCCCTAAACTTGAGTACTGCATACAAGCGGCCAGCCCTTGCTTAAAAAAAGACAGTGAGCTTCTGGAGAAGGTTCAGAGAACGACAACTAAGCTGATTACCGAAA